GTTTTTTTTTATACAATGGATTATTACTCTGCCATAAAGAGGAATAAGCTTGAGAAATTTCTAGGTAAATGGATGAACCTGGAGTCTATAGTGTTAAGTGAAATAAATCAGACACACATGTGTAAATACCCCATTGTTTCTCTGGTGTGAGAAACTGAAAGTGTAAGAACTAAAATATATAATAGGTATTGTGAAATAGGAAAAAAAATGTTCAAATGGGGAGGGGAACAAGGAGGGGAGCAGGGGGAAGGAAAAAAGGGAAAAGTTTTAAAAAATGAGAAAAGAAGGAAAAAATGGAAATGGCTTTTACAAATGGGGAGGGGAGGAAGTCTTCAAGGGAGGGAGGGGAATGGGGAAGAAAAAGAATCAAGTTATATCATGTATATATTCAATATATATCTATATGAATATGATCATTATGCATATCTAAAATGCACCAATAAACTCTAATTGAAAACATGATACATACAAAGTGAAAGCTGGCCACCTTACAAAGGAAAAAGCAAATAGGTTAAAGGTAAAGGATGTAAAATACATAAAATGCTAACACAAGTCAAAAAAAGCTGGAGTAGGTCCATTACTACCAGATGAAATAGATTTCAGAGAAAAGAAATTAAAGTGTATGGAATATTGGCAGAGATAAAGAAGGCCATTGACAAAGGGGTAATTTCACTAGGAGAATATAACTACATGTCTGTTCACCTAATAACATCTTATAAATACATGAAGCAACAATTGATAAAACTGCAAGGAGAAAAAAAACCCATGCACAATTAGTGTCTGAGATGTTAATATATTTCTCTCAATACTTGATAGAAAATTAGCCAAAAATTAGGAAGACTTTATAAGGAAAATAGTATAATAATTTATTATTGAACCATACTACTAGCAAACTCGACCTAATTGGCAGTTATGGAATTCTCTGCTTAACAGCAGAATACATTATTTTCATGGTACATGACACATTTACCAAAATAGATGTTATTAATATTATGAATAAGTGTTGATAAATTTAAAAGGATTTAAATCACACAGATTCTTTTCTTTGGCCACAATGGAACTAAATTTGAAATAATTAACAGAAAGTTATCTGAAAAATCCCAAGTATTTTGAGAGTAAATAATACTAAATGCATGCCTGTAACCACTGTACCATAGAGACGTGTGTAAAGACAGGTTACATGGGAAAGCTAAACATGCTGGCTGCTCGAGTCTACCAGGAGCTTCTGAGCATACACAGCCTCTCCACATTGCACTAGCTCTCTGATCTTTATGAAGTTACTTAATCTCCTAAGCATATTTCTTGATCAATACAATAGGAACAATAGTTTCAACTTGTACTCATTTTTACCTTTTGGAAAATAGTACAGCAATTTATTTTTAGGAGATACATTTTTAAATGACATATGGATATTAAATGTAAAATGATCTGATTCCTAATTTGGCATCTGAAATTTCTATTTGTTTTAAAGGTATCATGAATAACTAGTGATTATGTTATAATGTGGTGATAGACCCCATAAATAGATAAATGATAATAACGAAACAAACCACAAAAATCTGGAAAATAGTTGGAAAATATTTAGTGAAAAGAATTTTTTTTTTTGTCCTTTTGAGACAGGGTCTCGCTATGCAGTTCAGGCTGGCCTTGAGCTCATTTAGTAGCCCATGCTGGCCTCGAACTCACAACAATCCTCCTGCCTCAGCTTCTCAAGTGCTGGGATTACAGGCATATGCCCCATGCCTGGCTTATACATCAGTTTATATAAAGATATGTGCATCATCATCAAAGTAATTTATTTTGCATAAGTCCTATCATTTAAGATGTATCAAACTAATAGCTTATATAAAAATATGACACAGTTTGGCATGACTTCATCTTCTTGCTGGTAAATAATAAGTTCCTTAAGCAAATCACCATGTGGGCTCATCACTTAGTTCAGATTAGCCACACAAGGAAGGAACTAGTAGTCTCATGGTCCTCCTGTGCCAATGCCTTCCGGCTCTTCACATCCCATGCAGCTTTCCTGAAGGCTTGCAAATCTCACCTGAAGCTCATCACTTTAAGTTGTGCAAATTAAAAACCAAACCAATAGTAGTCGCTCTTCTCCCTTCCACCTACAGTGGCCATTTTCCCCCACAGTGCCTATTTTTTCTCTTTTTCTGTCTTTACTCACAGCAATGACAAGTACTATTTTGTGAACAAGATCTCTCTTCCTGACCTGGGTAGAGCAGAACATTGTGCTCATGCAGACCATTACCTTTTCCGCCCAGAAGGTTCTCGTTCTTCTTAAAAGGTTCTTCCAGAGTCTTACTGTTATCTGATTTGTAGTTTGTCCTGTCCCACCTAGTTTGCTTTTATTTTCATTCTCTTATTTTGACCAGCCAGTCCATACATTAAAATGCATATTTTGCCCTAAAATAATTATTGATAAGCTGTACCACAATTTGTTAGACTCTGCTACATAGGAGGGTTTTTTTTGTTTTTTTTTTTTTTTTGTTTTTTTTGTTTTTTTTTTTTTACTGCTTGATATATTAATACCTTGGCATACATTTTTTTCTTGAGCCTCTCAAAAAATGTTTAGATTGCTTCTTTTGAAAATAGTGTCAGAGCATCTTGTGAACTGTTAAGTCTTAAAGTTATACTTTCCAATTTTTCTAAATATTTTGCCTCTGATTTCTTCCTTTCATATGTCTTTGACTTAGCTATCCAAGTGTGGCAAAGCATAGGGATCAAATGAAAACAGGGAAGTCAGGCTAGAGAATTCCAGAGCTACCATGTGCAGAGTTCAGGCTGCACCCTGCATATGAACCCTGGCCAGAGGGGCAGAGGGAGCTGGAATCCAGCCTGTGCTCAGCTCACCAGGTCCCCACCTGGCTTGAGACTGCTTTCATCTAAGCAAGGGAGCACTTTGTCAGTTTGTACAAAGGCGTCCTGTAACCTGCTAGTAGCCCAGTAAAGAGGTCATGTTGGGAGATCTAAATGTATACTAGTCCATTGAGAAACCTCTAAGAGGGACCAAATGTGTCTATATTTTGTAAAGAATACTATGCTATGGGTAGCATGGGTTGGAGAAAGGCCAGAGTGGAAATAAGGAGGCTGATCAGGAGGTGAGGGTGGCCAGAACTACCTTGTGGTAGAAGGAGAGACACAGAGAAAAGGATGGCATCTTTAGTTTGATGTGGAGGTGTGAAACATGACGTTTCAGTTACTCAGCTGAACAACTGGACGTACGGTGGTACTGTGTCCTGATGTGCGGTGGGCTGAGAGAGAAACAGGCCCTGGCGGAGGGTGTTATGTCAAGACTTCAGGGCCATCCAGCTTGTTCGAGACACCTGTGAGTTGTCTAAATCGCTACCGGGAGACAGGTGGTTGTAGATACCCGGTAATCAGAAGAGCATCTATTCTTTGGAGTGCCCCTGCTGAGGGCAACCCGTCTGAACAACGCTATAGCGCTCCTGAAGGATCATCAGTGGCTTTGTATCCTGACAATCCAGAAACTTATTTTGAGATGCAGAACAGCTCCTCACATTGAATATAAACATAATTACTATACCTTTGGCACAAATGCTCAGGTCTGTGCCCAGTGCAGCAGATCTAACTCACTCCACGCTGGGGCTAGTCTTTTATCTTTTTAATTCAAAAGCTTTCCTTTAAACTTTCTTCACAAGCTTTCTGTGTCCTGTGCCCTCATTTCAGTGTCCTCTGAGGATATTCCTGTTGGCCTCTGTCCTCCTTTTAGAGACCAGAGCCACACACAGTCAATCAAGTTTGACTTTTTTTTTTCCTCCTAATTTACCTGGCATTTATCCTCAGTGAGAGTTTATAACCACGACATGGCAGAGTGGGAACCCAGAGCCGCCCTGTTACTAAGCACTCTTCTTTAATCCCGGTAGATGAACACCGAGGTACGAATGGCTCCAGCACTGTGTAGATTTGTTCTCTGACTCGCTGCACTAGACAGAGCCAAAACCGTGGGTTAAAAGCCACACGGAGGAAGATGTTGGCTCAACTAAAGGAAAAACTGCCTAATGTTTAGTGCTGTCTTAAACGGGAACTCCTGCTGGGGAAGGGGTTACAGTTTCTGGAGGTGTGGGGCACGCAGCACACTGTCGTTTGGTATCGATTCCATAGGACGACTGAAGGGTCATAGTGTGCAAGTAATCTCCACTGAGTGTTGAGTTCCTGCTCATGTCAGAGCTTTAACCCAGATGCTTCACCTCATTTAATGCTCGTAACAACTCCCAAGAGAACTAGTTATAGCCCCATCAGGAGAGGTTATGGTCACAGACTTCAGATCACACAGCGAGCAAGTGGCAGAGCCAGGATTTACAGCCAAGATTTAAACTCACTTCCAACTCAAACCTGTTTATTCTTTCTACAATTCACAGGAGCTTGAGATTAATCCAGGGGATTTTTAAGGTCACTTCTAGCACTGTGGTTGTGAATATATATATATAAAATCTGTCTATGGTGTCCTATATTCTTGCAGTCTCAGTTACATTAAAATGACAATCTGTAACTCCAGAACTGTTTGTGACCTCTATCAAGAAAGGGCTATTTGAAAAAAATCAACGTTTGTATTTTGTACCTCTGAATTTTTAACTGAACTGAGTCCAAGGGCCTCAAAATTCGTTTTTTTTGAGGGGATTTCCTCCTTATGGGTTGCTGGCAAGGACTGAGTTTATAGTATAAATGACTCAGTTCTTAGCCATTTAAATATGAATGATTCAGCGTTTAGCATTTCTAAAACTGCCATAATATATAGTCCTAACTTCTCTACTAATTTCACAGATTTTGGAAAGTCTTAGGTCTTGGAATATTTGCCCCTTGTTCAATTTTTCTCACTAAAGTTCTAATTTAGAATGTTTTCAACGCTAGAAAATTTCACTTCAATTAAAAAAATGTTAGATGTTTTAAAAAAATTCAAGTCTGAAAATAAAAATATGTATTTATTTTAAAGTAAAATTATTCTATGTGTTTTAAATTCTGTTTTCTAGATTGAAGCTGAGCTTTCCAAGGAAAGAGCCCGACATTTAGTTGAGTTCGAAGAGCAAGCTCTTCTCTTCAAGAAAGAAGCAAAACTGGAACTTGATATTGAAAAGGAAAAACACCAAGCAATAATCCAAAAGTATAAGAAAGAACAAGAAGAACTACAAATGAAGGTGTGTAATTACCGTGCTTGTCGTTATGTCATGTTTGACATTATGTATGTTGGTACTTCCTCCTCGGGACACTACACTGTTTCAGACTCTGAGAGCTGTCCTTGTAGCCAGTGTTCCTTGGTTTGAGCCGCACAGGTAAAATGGTTTGGCTATTCTCCACAATGGATAATTGAGATGAACTATATAAGTATGCAATCTAGCTGTGTGCGGCTTTTACTACTGTAATAAATTTACCTTTTATACGGCATAAATTATATAACTAATACTCAGGACGGCCAACACTTCAAGTATCTAACATCAAAAGATAAGGAGGTGTTAAACAGTTAAAATTTTCCCAACTAAAGCATACCCTTTTTAATTGCAGATATTTTCAATTGTAAACATTTTTAACATAGAGAAACATTTTTAAAATGTGATCACACCTCCCTAATCTCTTAAATGATGTGTCCTACATATAGTTTAAGATTTTGTTAAGGTTTCTCTGTTTTATTTTGCTACTTTATTTTGTTTTGTGGTACTAAGGATTGGACCCAGGTTCTTCCTACTGAATTATATCTGCAGTTCTTTTTTATTTATTTCGTTTAAAACAAAATCTCAGTATGTTGCCCAGATTGAGCTCAAAGTTACAGTCTTCCTGCTTCAGCCTTCCAAGGTGCTGGGTGTATGCCTCCATGCCTGGCTGGTTTCTCCTTTTATACAGTTTAGGGTGTGTGTGTGTGTGTGTGTGTGTGTGTGTGTGTATGTGTCTGTGTGAATCAAGACCAAGAGGGAAAATCATATTTTGAATAAACTCATTAGGAACTCATGTTAATTAAGCTTCAAATGAGCCTGATGGTCTCCATCTGTGTGTAAAGGAGATTCAGTCCAACTATTGCAATAGCCCACTGTGACCCGTAAGTAGGACCAGTTACCTGTGCATAGGAACAAGGTAGCACAAGGCCCCACACTCAGAAAGGCCTTGTGTCTTGGATTTAATCCTCTGCACATTTTGCCTTAAAATTCTTGACAATTTTATCTTTGAATTTGTGATTTTATAAGTGAAATCCCACGGAGACAATGAGACATGTGCAGTGATCTCGGAGCCTCAGCTCATGTGCGGTTTCGACCTCCACTGGCCGGGCCCTGCCCCTCGCTTCCCGGTCCTGGTGTCAGAAGCCCCGCTGAGTCTCGCCTTGGCATTCTCCCCTTACCTCATGACTACAGTTGCAGTCTTGGGTGGCTCGGGAGCCCATGGGAAGGGGGATAAAGAGGCCCAAACTTACCAGATGGTACAGTTTCTCAAGAGAAGTCATAAGTCCAAATTTTGTAAGTGAGAGCTCCTGATTTTTAAATGTTGACTCCTTTTTTAAAAATCAAAACATGTTTTTGGCTATGTGAAATTTCCATCCCAAGGATAACTTGCTCTGTTTCACGGTCAGCTCGACTCTGCGTGATGGAAACCATCGTTCAGACCTAGCAGTGACCTCCTTCCCTTACGGAGTAATTGAAGACAATAGAATATTAATTTATGAAATTGCTAATTGTGGTGAATAGATTTATTCCTTATGTGAATTTAACATTTGAAATAAATTTTGGATGCACAATTCTTTTTAAGTAATAGTTCACAAAGTCTTTGGAACTTTGGTCTATGAATGTTTTCCAGATTCTTTGTGGGCTAGTTTCTTGTTGTGCTAATATTTATAATATGACAATATCTGTGGTATAACTAATAAGGATGTGCTTCACCAGAAGTAATTCTGCTCTTGTTTTTCTGTCCCTTGTTTTGTTTTTTAAAGAGAAAGGTCTTCTCCCTTTTGAAAATTTCATGCCAGAAGGAAAAGCTTCTCCAAGTTATTCTCTTATTTGTCTAGTGTTACCACCCTAAGAAGCAATACATTTTCATAATGTTCCAGCATTTTCTCAAACTGCACTGTCCATTATCGTAGCCATATGTGGCTACTTATATTTCAATTAAATTAGTTAAAATTAAATAAAATTTAATCTTCCATTCTTCAAACACATGTCACATTTCAAGTGCTCATAGCCAGTACTGATTTTCAACAGCCTACCTCAGGCATCTCTTCTAAACACAGTAATCAGTGGTATCATGTTGGTAGCTGTAAAGTATTTGCACCATGGAAAGTAGATGCAGATTTGACTGGTTTTTTGTTGGTTTTGACATTGTTAGTGTTGTTGTTTTACAGTCAGTTGCTAAACATTTACACTACAGTGCTATAAATAGCCATTATGGCTAGTGGCTACCATACTGGGTAGCAGAGTGTATTCCTGTCATCACAAGAGGATCAACAGACCAGAGCCACTCTAGAAAGTATAGTGCCTGGGGTAGCTCCAGCCATGATGTATGAGAAAGAAAACACAGTTATGTCAAAGGAAAACTTACTGATGTTGTATGAAGAAGATAGAGCTCTTCCTTTCTGCATTTCCCGACATCAGACATCTTCATGTCCCAAAGCCAGGCCCCGATCTACATGTCAAGACTTGGGCTATCCTTGGCAGTTTAATATTGCCATAGAGATTTATATTTCCAAGAGTGGTCAAGTGATTAATGTGATACTATTTT